CTCCTGCACGTCAGCGAGTGACCCACTGTACAGAGGCTGGCACAGGCCGACACCTGGCTACGTTCACCCGTCAGCCGGGGTCGAGCCTGTACACTCTGACCACTGCGTCTCCTCCAGTTGCTGAGTCTGGTAGGGTAGTTACGTCGGGTCAGGTGTTTGCTGCGGCGTCCAGGTCTGGTCCTGAGTCTGCCCCCTGTTCGTGTCGTCTCCTGTCTCACGAGACTCTCCTCTGGCACCACCGCCTCGGCCACCCCTCTCTGCTTCGGCTCAGAGGTATGGCCTCCCGTCTTCTTGTGTCCGGTCTCCCCCGGTCCCTCCCTCCCCTTCCTCAGGGCCCTGGCCCTGCCTGTGTCCCCTGTGTCGAGGGGCGCCAGCGTGCTGCCCCTCACTCCTCCCAGTTTCCTTCGACAGAGGCCCCGTTGCAGACACTTCACATGGACGTGTGGGGCCCAGCCCGCGTCCGTGGACAGGGTCACGAGCGCTACTTCCTGCTCGTTGTTGACGACTACTCGCGTTACACCACAGTCTTCCCCTTGCGCAGCAAGGGTGATGTCACTGAGGTGCTGATCGACTGGATCCGCGCAGCTCGTCTCCAGCTCAGGCAGAGCTTCGGCTCGGACTGACCTGTTCTGCGTCTGCACTCGGACAGAGGCGGAGAGTTCTCCTCTGGCCTTCTGCGTGCCTACTGTCGTGCACGGGGCATCCGTCAGACCTTCACGCTTCCGGACTCACCGCAGCAAAATGGGATTGCTGAGCGCCGCATTGGCATGGTCATGGACGTCGCTCGTACGTCTATGATGCATGCGGCTGCCCCCCATTTTCTGTGGCCGTTTGCGGTGAGGTACGCGGCGCATCAGATCAACCTCCACCCCAGGGTCTCCAGGCCGGAGACCTCCCCAGCCTTGCTGTGGACGGGGAAGGTTGGCGATGCGTCGGCGTTCCGGGTCTGGGGATCTCGGGCGTTTGTCCGCGACCGGTCTGCGGACAAACTATCCCCTCGTGCTGCTCCTTGCGTCTTCCTGGGGTTCCCCCCTGACGCGCCTGGGTTGCAGTTTTACCACCCCACCTCTCGCCGTGTTCTGTCCTCCCAGGACGTCACGTTTGACGAGTCGGTCCCCTACTACCGCCTCTTCCCCTACCGCACTCCGTCCCTCCCCCCACCCCCACTCTTCCTGGTACCAGGTCCCCCCCAGGTAGACCCCCTCCCCCCTCAGGGTCCTGCCCCTTCAGGTGTGTCCCAGGTAGACGCAGTCGAGCCTGTCGAGGTCACTGGTGACTCTGGTGCTGCTGAGGGTGCTGAGGCTGGGGGTGCTGTACCTGGGGGTGCGGAGCCTAGGGGTGCTGGGCCTGGGGGTGCTACGTCTGGGGGTGCTGAGCCTAGGGGTGCTGAGCCTAGGGGTGCTGAGCCTGGGGGTGCTGAGCCTAGGGGTGCTGAGCCTGGGGGTGCTGAGCCTGGGGGTGCTGAGCCTGGGGGTGCTGAGCCTAGGGGTGCTGAGCCTGGGGGTGCTGAGCCTAGGGGTGCTACGTCTGGGGGTGCTGAGCCTAGGGGTGCTACGCCTGGGGGTGCTGAGCCTGGAGGTGCTCCGCCTGGCGGTTCTCCGAGTGCTTCGTCTCGCGGGGAGCCACTTTCTCCACAGGAGCTGCGTGAGTGGTTTGCCCGGCGCTGGAGGCGTGCTGCTGGTGCTGGAGGTCCTTAGGCTGCTGAGGGTGCTGCGGTCGCGGGTCCCGGAGGTGCTCGTCCTGGGTGCACTGGAGCTGGTGCTGCTGAGGGTGTTGGCGCTGAGACTACCGCTGGCAGTCCTACTGGGGGTGCTCCTGGTGCTACTGGAGGTTCTGGAGCTACTGGTGGTGCTGCTGGAGCGGGTGCTCCTGCTGAGGGTTCTGGTGCTGTCCCTGCTGCTTCTAGCATCGCCGCGCGGCCTCGACCGTACTTCGTTCCACTCCTGCAGCAGGTTCTTCGTCTTCCACCTTCTACTGGTCCTCCTCCTCCCTTGGAGTGTCCACAGCCTGTCTCGTCCCAGCTACAGTTGCAGCCTACCTCCCCTTTGCCTGCTCCTTCTCCCTACACTGGTCCTACTGGAGGTCTGGCTGAGCGTCGTGAGCCTGCGTCTCGCCCTGCGTCGCCTGTCCGTGCTGCTCGCACTAGTGGTCGCGGTTCGCGTCAGCGTCCTCCTCCTATCCCTGGCACGCACCGGATGTCTCTGCGTCCGTCCACTGCTCCTCTGCGTGCCCCTTTGCCTTCTCCTCCTGAGTCCTCTCTTCCTGCTCTTGCCGACCCGGAGCCGGACTCTCTTCGTGCTGCCAGTCCTACTGTCACGCGTCTCCTTGCTACTGTTGTCACTGACCCTTCTTTCGAGTCTACTGCTGCGTCTGCTCTCGTTACTGAGCTCGTCGACTTTGCTGCTCGCTGTCGCTTAGACTACGCTGCTAGTCTTGTCGCTGAGTCTGAGTCTGTCTGTCCTCCGTCCGTCGGGGGTGAGTGTGCCCTTGGCACGGACGTCCTTGAGGATAGGCAGGAGGAGTTCCAGTGTCTGGCAGCTGCCTCACCTCATCTCGTGTCCGTACTGCTTACCCCTGAGGGAGACCCGGATGCACTTGACATCCCGACTCCGCGCTCTTACGCGGAGGCGATAGAGGGTCCCTACTCCTCTCAGTGGCAGGCAGCTATGGATGCAGAGATGGCTTCCTGGAAGTCCACAGGCACCTACGTTGACGCTGTCCCCCCTCCTGGGGCGAACATCGTCAGTGGCATGTGGATCTTCAGGGTGAAGCGGCCGCCGGGTTCTCCGCCTGTCTTCAAGGCGCGTTACGTGGCTCGTGGCTTCAGTCAGCGGCAGGGAGTTGACTACTTTCAGACCTTCTCCCCCACCCCGAAGATGACCACTCTTCGGGTACTGCTGCACGTTGCTGCTCACTGTGACTACGAGCTGCACTCTCTTGACTTCAGCACAGCTTTCTTGCAGGGCAGCCTGCACGAGGAGATCTGGCTGCGTCGCCCACCTGGCTTCACTGGGTCTTTCCCTCCTGGTACCCAGTGGAGTCTCCGGCGTCCAGTCTACGGTCTCCGCCAGGCGCCACGTGAGTGGCACGACACACTGAGGACTACGCTTGCGGCTCTTGGGTTTGCTCCTTCTACTGCCGACCCGTCGCTGTTTCTACGCACCGACACCTCTCTGCCGCCGTTCTACATCCTTGTGTACGTCGACGACTTGGTCTTTGCCACAGCTGACACTGCTGGACTCGCCTACGTGAAGTCCGAGCTGCAGAAGAGACACACGTGCACAGACCTGGGTGAACTGCGCAGCTACCTTGGCTTGCAGATCACCCGGGACAGAGCACGCCGCACCATTACCCTGACTCAGTCACACATGGTGCGGCAGGTCCTTCAGCGCTTCGGCTTCACGTACTCCTCGCCTCAGGCCACTCCTCTGTCTACTCGCCACTCGCTCTCAGCTCTGCCTTCGGATGAGTCCGTAGAGTCGAGTGGCCCGTACCCAGAGCTTGTTGGCTGCCTCATGTACCTGATGACCTGCACACGACCTGACCTTGCATACCCTCTTAGCATTCTTGCACGCTATGTTGCTCCTGGGAGACACAGACCAGAGCACATGGCTGCAGCGAAGAGGGTGTTGCGCTACTTGTGCAGTACGTCGGGCATGGGGCTAGTTCTTGGAGGGCGGAGTCCAGTGGTCCTCACTGGGCACGCGGACGCTTCTTGGGCTGACGACCAGGCTACGCAGCGGTCGTCACAGGGTTACACCTTCAGCCTTGGTTCCGGCTCTGTTTCGTGGCGGGCTACTCGCTCGTCTTCTGTTCTTGGCTCGAGTTGTGAGGCTGAGATCTACGCCGGGGCCATGGCTGCACAGGAGCTTCGCTGGCTCACCTACCTGCTGACCGACCTTGGAGAGCCGCCTCGTTCTCCTCCAGTCCTGTACGTAGACAACAAGGCCATGCTGGCCTTGTGTTGAGAGCAGCGACTGGAGCACAGAACAAAGCACATTGCTCTCCGCTACTTCCTTGCTCGTGAGCTACAGCAACGTGGACAGTTGCGGCTTGCGTACGTGGCCTCTGAGGCCAACACTGCTGATGTCTTCACCAAGGCACTTCCGCCTTGTGATCATCAGCGCTTCTGCACTCAGCTGGGTCTTGTGCCCGTCTTGCCTCACTTGCTCTCCTCTTGACCTTGCTTGTACTCTCACATATTTATATACCTGCTCTTGCTTGTCTAGCTTTATATATATGTGTGTACTCTTGCATGTGAATTGGCCGTGTGGCCTTGACCCTGTGCTCGGACTGTGTGGTGACTTTGTGATCCACCCTGAGCTTGCTTTGCTTTGCTTTGCTTGACTGGTCTTGTGACCCCTTGTTCTCCCCCACTTTGCCTATGGGGGTGTGTCAGAACATTATAGCTTATGCTGTTGTGTAGGCTATAGTGGGGTATCCCATAGGGGGTACAACCAATTAGGGTTTCATATTTGTACTCACTTCATTTTCATAGTTCACTCATTCTCGTTCTCATTATCACATGCTGTCTCTGCAGCCACGCAAAATTTGGCGTTCACTAAGGAGAGAATTTGGTTAAGTGTTGGAAAGACACAGATTTGGCACACAAATAAAATTTACTAGAATAAAATGAAAGATAGAATTCAAGGGGTAAAGAACTACCCAACCTCTGAACCTAACAAGAGAACGTTCTCACCATAACGTTTAGATAACTACCACTTAGCTGCGCTTTGCCAAGTCAGCATCGGCAGGTGAAAATTACAACACATGCTTAGTTGGTAATTTTTACCTACCTAAAAGTAGTTATTTTAACTGTTCGGGTTGTTTAACCAGTTTCTGATTGCGCAGGTGGTTCAATTCGCCCCCAGATTGAATGCCCCAAGTTTACGCAATGTTTCCGGGGGTCAATTTCCCAATGTCCGAATTTCTTACGAAATTCTTCTAAAATGTTCCGAAGCGATCGCACTTTCGCGTCGGATGGGTTCGCCGTAGAAAACATGGGCCTCTGCAGAATTTCGCTTCTGCAGACGCGCCCTCCTCTGCAGACCCTAATTTCTGCAGATGCGAACTCCTCTGCAGCGAAACCCAAATCTCGCTTCTGCGGACTCCACTCTTCTGCAGAGCTTCGCTTCGACCTCTGCGACAGGTTCGCTTCGGCGAACTTCTCACCCCTGCAGAAAAGCTACGGCCCAATCTGCAGAATCAATGCAAACTCAACACCATGGACTCTGGACTGCGTCATCGCTTGTGGATGGTGACATCGCGTCTAGATCGCGACCAAGTCGCGAGCGCGGCGCGTCGTTTTCCCTCCGATTCGCAGCATCGTTTGCAATAGGGCTGTAGTCCTCCTCGGCCATGCGCCATGGTGTGCCGCCTCGCCTCGTCATCGGCGCATCGCCGCCACATCGCCGCCTCATCGCCACCACATCACCGCCACATCGCCACCACATCGCCGCCACGTCGCCTCGCCTCCTCCTCGACGCCACATTGACGCCTCGCCTCCCATCACCTCATCGCCACCCCATCGCCTCCTCCCCGCCTCGACTCCTCATCGCCTCCACATCGCCACATCGCCTCCACATCGCCGCCTCGCCTCCACATTGGCGCGCCGCATCGCCGCGTCATCATCCCCCACACCTCCACCGCCACCTCGCCGCCTCCACGAACGAAACAGGCTGTCCTTCCCCTGCCCCTTGGTCATGTTCCCCCTTTTCCCTTTCCTCCACTCCAACCCCCCCCTTGCCCTCATCTTTCTCCCCCCTCCTGTCCTCCACGTTCACCCCCGTCCTGTCCTCCTATCTCCTTCCTGGCCCTCCTCTCCCCCCGCTGGCCACCTCTCTCCCCCCTTTCTTCCTCTCTCCTCCCTTTCTTCCTCTCTCCTTCTTTCTTCCTCTCTCCTCCCTTTCTTCCTCTCTCCCCATTTTCTTCCTCTCTCCCCCCTGTCTTCCTCTCTCCCCCTTTTCTTCCTCTCTCCTCTCTTTCTTCCTCTCTCCCCTTTTTCTTCCTCTCTCCCCCCTATCTTCCTCTCTCCCCTTTTTCTTCCTCTCTCCCCTTTTCTTCCTCTCTCCCCCTTTTCTTTCTCTCTCCTCCCTTTCTTGCTCTCTCCCCTTTTCTTTCTCCCTCCCTCATCCCGTCCTCCCCCCTCTCATCCCTTCCTCCCCTCCCTCATCCCGTCCACCCCTCTCTCATCCCTTCCTCCTCTCCCACATCCCATCCTCCCCCCTCTCATCCCTTCCTCCCCTCCCTCATCCCGTCCTCCCCTCTATCATCCCTTCCTCTCCTCCCTCATCCCGTCCTCCCCTCTATCATCCCTTCCTCCCCTCCCTCATCCCGTCCTCCCCTCTATCATCCCTTCCTCCCCTCCCTCATCCCGTCCTCCCCTCTATCATCCCTTCCTCCCCTCCCTCATCCCGTCCTTCCCTCTATCATCCCTTCCTCCCCTCCCTCATCCCGTCCTCCCCTCTATCATCCTTTCCTCGTCCCTCATCCCTTCCTCCCCTCTCTCATCCCTTCCTCCCCTTCCTCATCCCGTCCTCCCCTCTCTTGTCCTTGTTCCCATGAATCAGCCAGCCCTCCTGGTCGCTATCTTCCCTAACCGGTCCCTCTTCTCCTCTAAACATACGCCTCCAGGGAGCAGGGACGCCTCCTCATGTCCTCGCGGCATGGCAGATGACATGTAGCCAAGCGTGGAATAGAACTGGGAACTTGTCATAGTGATTCGGTGTTGTAGATGCATTATGTGACAAACTTGAGTTGCAAAATACATGATGCATGTTCCTTGAAGGCTCTCATACTGTAGCGAAAGAGTGCATCACAATAAATCCGTTCCAAGTTGACCAAATTGAAACCATCGCATGATTCACGCAATACATTGTGAATCACAGGGCTTTTTTCATACTAGACAAGCCTTAGAACCACTGCAACATCTCAAACCGCCACAGGCTGCCCTGCAGGACCCCACAAATCGTCACCATTCCCTCTGCCTTGACCATAACACAACCCCTCGTTGCCGTGCGGAATGGGCAGGAAGTGGTTCGGTGGTAAGGCTCCACCACACTTCAGAGGCCTTCCTGTTTGGATGCGCCTAAACTGCAGCTGCCCTCGTCTTGTCGGTGGGTCATTTGTGTCCACGCTTCCAATCTGGATGGAGTGAGTGGCAGACAAGTACGAAAGGGCAGGGAAGGAAGAGATCATGGTGAAGGGAACAGGAACACATGGCAAGGCAGCGCGATAGGCAGTGCAACAGGCAGTGCATAAGGCAGGGAGGCAGTGCCAGCAGGAATGCAGGCAGGGAAAGCAGGAAGGCAGGCAGTGCGCCCCGCAGTGCAGATGGGAGATGGAAGGTAGGGAAGTTAGAACAGGGCAGAGAATGGGGATAGGAGAGGGTGCAGAAGGGGGGATAGGACAGGGCGGGGAAGGGGGGACAGGGCGGGGACAGGGCAGGGTATGGCGGGAGAGTGGTGTGGGGGGGGGAAGTGGTGGGGGGACGAGAGAGGGTTGAGGGGGGAGGGGTGTAGAGGGTGAGAAAGTGTGTGCTGGCCTCCGAATATCACTGCCTCCTGGCAGGAGCAGGGCGAGGGGTGAGAGAGGTGGGGGAGAGGGATGGGGAAAGAAGGGAGGGAGAGGGGTAGGGAGAGAAGGGGGGGAGAGCAATAGGAAGAGAAGGGTGGGGGAGAGGGGTAGGGAGAGAAGGGTGGGGGAGAGGGGTAGGGAGAGAAGGGTGGGGCAGAGGGGCAGGGAGAGAAGGGTGGGGGAGAGGGGTGGGAGAGAAGGGTGGGGCAGTGGGGCAAAAAGAGAAGGGTGGGGGAGAGGGGTGGAGGGGAAATTGTGGAGGAGAGAGGTGAGGGAGCGGCGTAGGGGAGACGGGGAGATGCGGATTATGGGAGAGGATTATGGGAGAACGGTCAAGGAGAGGAGTATGGGAGAGGGGTTGAAGAGAGGGGTTGGGGAGAAGGGAAACAGAAAACATACGAGAAAAAACCCACTTTTTGTTCGTAGATGTCACCTTCCCCCTTCTCCCACTTCCTCTCCTCCCTCTTCCCCACTCACCCCCCTTCTCCCACTTCTCCCCCCCTCCACCTCACTCACCCGCAGGCGCGGCGACTCGTGCATGTCTTGCGCCAGCTTGCGCAAAACGTCTCAAAACCAGCTCGTGCAGCACCATGCGGTCTGCCAGCACACGATCCTCACACACCTGGGGGGGGGGGGGGGGAGGAGGAGAGGGGCGGAAAAGGGCACGGTGAGAGGGCAAAAAGGGAAATGTTCTAAGTTGCCTCAGAACAAACACCAAGTGGTCTGCGGATCCTCGCACACGTGGGGGGAGGGGAAGGGGAACACGGAGGGGAATGAGCATATTGACGAGAAAAAAGGGCGGGGAGGGCAGTGAGGGGGAAGGGTCGAGAGGATACTGAGGGGGAAGGGCGGGGAGGGCACTGAGGGGGAAGGGCGGGGTTTTCGAGATATCCCTAAACCAGCTTGTGCAGCACCATGCTGTCCGCGTGCATGCAGTCCTTGTGTTGTTCATGATCCGTCACTTTGAGAACTTACGACGAACTCATTTCTCAACTAAACGCAAATCTGCTCGGTAGGATTGTGCTCCTTAGGCTTAGCTACCATCTCCAATTCGAATCAGTCATTAACATGTTCTAGAGAGTGAGAACGACCCGAAAACGTCCAGCAGCTGCATGACTAGAATAGTAGAGGAAGTACAAGCATTAGGGCATAAGATAGTTGGAGTTGGGGACTCCAAGTGAACCATGAGAGGGAAGGGGTTCTCCAAGAGCTAGGGAAGGATGGTAGGAACCTTCCTAGCAGCAAGGATGCAACCCTCATCATGAGGTCCTTGAGGTGTCACATGCAAAATCCAATCTAGTTCGATTTTGACTAGGTGTTGCAACATTTGCAACCCATGGTAGAAACTTCTAGCCACCGCAATCCAAAAGTCAAAGTTGCCTTCCTAACCACCCAACCAAAGATCCCTTTATGGTCATGACCCAATAATCACCCAATGTAGATAATATCCCAAAACGAGATATAATTCCCAAAACTTGGAAATCTTGTAACTTGGGCGATCTTGGTCGGATTAAGGCGATCTTGGTATCGTTGGAAAGCTCTGGAGTTCTCCTGCATGATCAAGCATGTAGACTTAGAGAAAAACACAGAGATGGTAAAGTCCAACAGCCATGCACAAAGACATATGCTCATGCGAACAATCCACGCATGAATAGCACAAGCACTCGGCAGGACGTTAGGATGACATGCACTCATAATGACGTGCATCCAACACCTTGCACCACTGCAGTCCGCAGGGGCAGGTGGGGGTTGAGGAAGGGAGGGGAGAGGGGAAAGGGTGGGGGTAACCTGAGGGGGAAAGGTTGGGCAGGGCACTGAGGGGGAAAGTGTGGGGAGGGCACTGAGGAGTAAAGGTTGGGCAGGGCACGAAGGGCTAAGGGTGGGGCTTGACGCACGGTGTGCACACCTGCGCGCCCAACGGACAGGAGCAGGGAGAGGTGGAGCACGGCGAGGTGTTGCGACTTTGACGAGCAAAACACGAGTGTTGAAAACGTCCCTCTTCACCGCGCATTCCCCGCCCCCTCACCTCGCTCCGCCCTATCCCCGTCCCCACCTCTCCTCCACCCTCTTCCCATGCGCGCGCCTCTCCTTCTTCCCCTCCCCCTTTTGCCTCGTGGAAAGTGTCAGCGATCTCGTCGTTGGAGCACCCGCTCCATTCTCGATGCCCATCTGCCGGCGCCGCTCCGCCTCGCGCTGGTCCTCGATCCGCAGCACCACGTGGATCTGCACGCAACAGGCGCGCGGAGATTGGTGCACGGCAGAGTAAGCGGGGGTGGAATGGGGAGGGTGGGGGAAGGTGAAACACGGACAGAAGGGAGGTGAGCGAAACGTGCTATGTCACGGCAGTCCAGAATGTCGCGATATTAATGAATGTCGCGAGAGCCCTAGGCAAGCGTGAATCACCTTGAGAATGTCCTGAATGACCCTCAGGACCTGCGCCTCCTCCGCCGACAGCTGCGCCTCCCCATCCATCCCCTCCGCCGCCGCCGCTGCTGCCCGCACGGACCGTGTTAGACGCCTGTCACCGGTTATCGAGATGAAACGCATTGCTGCGATTGGCGGCGTCATCGGCCGCGAAGATACGCGACATGCGGGATGCGGCACGCTAGTGAGCGAGCGACGGCGACCCGTGTACGGTGATAGACGTCGACATTGGGGACGATCTAACAACCCTAAACACAGCCTCACTGATATATTGAATAGTTAAAATGGAAATCTACTTTTTTTTTTCCGTAAAAAAAACCATGCTATGTAGGTGGCGACGCTATGAAGTTCCCAACTCCCATTACCCCCGTCGCTACTGACGGGAGGGAGACCACCCGCGCAACTCCGCTAACACTGAAAAGTTGTTCGCGTCTCACTCCCAGCTACAAACCAGGTAACCACACAAGGCAAGTGATAAACCTTTGCCTCCACCCCCCTGAAAGTGCACCTTGGCTTTAAGGTCTTGGGAAAGGGTCACAGGCATGGCCTGGGGGGTTATGGGGGCGCTCACCCGCTATGGAATAAGCCATTTAAGCTCAGCGGTTAGCGGCTGAGTTTTCCAACATGGTATAAGAGCGAAGGTCCCGGGTTTGAATTCTAGTGTGCACAATGGAAGTGCATGCGGTCCTATGCCTACCCCAGTGAGGGAGGGTGTTGGAGGAATACTGGGATCGGCCTTAAGGTCCTGGGAAAGGGTCACAGTTAAGGATGGCCTGGGGGGTTATGGACGCGCTCACCCGCTATGGAACAAGCCCTTTTAGCTCAGTGGTTAGCGGCTGAGTTTTCCAACCGGGTATCAGGCCGAAGGTCACGTGATCGAATTCCTGTGTGCACAATGGAAGCGCATGTGGTCCTAGGCCTATCCTAGTGAGGGGGGGTGTTGGAGGAACATAGGATCGGCTTAAGGTCTTGGGAAAGGGTCACATGCAAGGATAGACTGGGGGGTTATGGGCGCACTCACCCGCTACGGAATAAGTTATTTTAGCTCAGTAGCAGCTGAGTTTTCCAACACAGTTTGGCACAGAAGAATCAAAATTTCATAAATGACATCATGCTAACCCCTGCGCTTATAATAATTATCGATTATAAGCGCACCCCCAAAACTTTTTTTATTATTATAACCCCATGGACGCTTATATCCCAGGGGGAGACGGTATTATACCGATACATATAAAACAGTTAAAGCAAGGGTGCACATTCATGGGGGTGGTTTTTTAGGGCATTTTTTTGTACACCCTTTGATGCCCCCTGAGTCGTGTGCGAAGTGTGGTTCGGTTTGTCAAGCTGGTGCAGGGTGAGGAAACAACACTAGCGAGGCCACCCCGTTTCGTCCAGGGTTGGTTTGGGAAAATTAGGAGCTGCTGGGGCTGAAGCTTTGGCTAAAGCGTTAGAAGCTAATAAGTCACTAATGTCGCTTGAGTTGGGAGATAATGATATAGGAGATGTTGGGGCTGAAGCTTTGGCTAAAGCGTCAATAACCTCACTTAATTTATCGCGCGGGTTGGGCGGAACACAAGCCCAACCCCACAAACAACCTGTCGGTGACGACCCCGCTGTGGACGTTGGTGCGAGCGGACGGGGCCTGGCCGACGGCCACATCTCTAACACCTGCAACGAAGGTTGCTTGGGGTACGTAGGGCGAGCGAGTAGAGTGGGTATGTGAGCTCGATCGCAACTCTCTCCCCTACCACATATAGACTCACTCCGCTGCTCTAGCACTACTCACCCTGCTGCTCTAGCACCACTCACCCCGCTGATCTAGCACCACTCACCCGGCTGAACTAGCAACACTCACTCCGCTGCCCCATCTCAACTCATCCCACTGCACCATCACATCTCACCCCGCCGCCACCCACCGCCACCTCCCGCCGCCCATGCCACCCACTGCCACCCAATGCCACCTACCGCCTCGCACCGCCATACACCGCCACGTACCGCCATGCACCTCCATCCATGCCACCCACCACCACCCACTGCCACCTACCGCCATCCACCGCCATGCACTGCCACACACCGCCATGGTCAGCCGCTCGCCGCCACCCATGTCACGCACCCTTCCCCCTCACCACCTTGATGTCTCTGTGTCTGTAGTCCGGCCGAGGGTGGCAACTTGAACTAGTCTGTCGGCGACGACACCTGCAACGAAGGATACTTGGGGTACGTAGGGCGAACGAGTAGAGTGTGGGTATATGAGCTCGATCGCAACTCACCCCTCTGCCACATTACAACTACAGCGCCAGCCCTGTCGCAAACCAGGTCGCTGTCACAGCAACACTCACCCCTCTGACATATTGTAGCTCAACACAATGCACCCCACCACCCCCCGTCCCTCCCCAAACCTCCAACCTCCCCCACCCACCACATTTTCCTCTATGTTATCAGCCCGGCCGAAGGTGGCAACTTGAACTCGTCTGTCGGCGAAGACCCCGCTGTGGACGTTGGTGCGAGCGGACGGGACCCGGTCGACGGCCACATCTCTAACACCTGCAACGAAGGTTGCTTGGGGTACGTAGGGCGAGCGAGTACGAGTGTTGGTATATGAGCTCGAGTGCAACTCACCCCCATGCCACATCACAACTCAACCCGGTGCCACATCTCAACTCACCATATTGCCACATCACAACTCACCCTGTTGCCACATTATAACTAAACCCGTTGCATAGGTCGCAACTCACCCCGCTGATCTAGGACCCATCACCTAGCACAACTCACAATGCACCTTGCTGCCCTATCTCAACTCCCCCCCCTACACTATCACAATGCTTCGCCCCCCCACCCCCTGCCCTATAATGCAGCCCCCCACCCTCCCGTCCTCCCCCCCCACCCCACCCCCCCCCCCCCCCCCCCCCCCCCCCTACCCCACCCCCCTCCCTTCCACCCTATTTCTCCGTCCTACCAGATCGGACGAGTGGGGCAACTTGAACTTGTCGAAATGGGGGGACGAATGGGTTGCACCCTCGATAGTTAGCGGACTCACGTGTGTAGTTAGTTTGTTTGACCCCGTCCGCGCGTTGCAGTTTTCATGCTTCTGTCACTCGCATGCAACCGAGTGGGGGGGTGCAAAGGTCGTATGTGACTCAAGACATGGATAAAGGACTGGGCTGGTCTTGGGTCACAGTGGAAGTGTGATGTGTGCAACAAATGCTGGTCATGGTGGTCGTTAGAGCGATAAGCGTCTAGCCCCCACCAATCGGTGGGGGGGCAGAGCCAGTGATGCAGAGATGTATGGCCTCATTTGCATTGGCCGGCATTGGTTTTCAGGTTAAGGGGGAGGTGTGTCGAAACATAGGTATGGCGATGCCTTGCAAGACTACATTTTATAAGTATATGCGAGGAGCGGGGGGGGGGGGCTGTGGGAGACTATTGAGCGCAATGCTGCACTATGCATGGAGCGAGTGCGGGAGAGCATGAACAAATGGCATGTGCCAGGCCATTGGATGTGTGTTGATGGTCGATGGGGTCAAGTGAGGGAGGCGGAACGGTGTAGCGTCACATTCATTGATCCCATAATCTGCAAGGTACTTCATTGTGTCACTGTATCCCAAATGGAGGAACGTGTCAATCCTGTGGAGTTAGAGGGTTTAGCATTCAAGGTATTATCACGGATCAAGGAGGCACATGCCATAAAGGTCGGGTACTGTCCAAAACATTTGTGCGTGACATGATCGCTGCGCAGAGATGATATGCGGGTGGAAGACGCTGAAGCGATAGAGGATTTGTTGGACGTTGCCCCGAAACACCTGAGAGCGTGGTCGTTGGCACAAAAGGCGTCCACAATCAATAAAATCTCGACAAAAAATATGATAGAAACGATTTGCCGCAAAAAGTGTACATGGTTACGTATGGCTCCCGTCCCACTTCTTTATGAGTTGTTTTTGTTCTTCTCCTTTCCTTTTTCCCTTGTTTGCATCCAGAACCTGGGTCAAACACAACTCCGTGCAAGAGACGTTGGGTGGACAGAGAGGGAGGGAAGAAGGAGCAGGTGGTGGGAGACGATTTGGGGGATGACGTGGTGCGGGAGGTGAATGTTGCTCAGCGATTCTGCATTCATTTTCATCGTGTCATGGTTCGACGCGCCGCGCTCGCCAGAGCAGGTCATCCCATGAAATCCCATGAGTGCAGAGGATGCTGCAGCTGAGATTGGGTGTGCGGCTGACCACTGGGCAGGAGATCATACACATTGTTCTCGGGGAGGTGTCCTATCGAGGTGTGTGGTGGATAGATGGGGAGAAGAAAGTGCGTTGTATGAAGGGCGGGTCCAACTTTGTACATGTACGCTTTATTTCCAAGTCAGTTACCCTATTTTAGCATGTAACAGAACTTCTAACGTACGGATGTTCATTTGACGCGAGACTGTACATAAATGCTAGCAATTCGGAATCGTTTCCTGGGACGTGCGGAAGATATCCAAATGTTCACCATCAATTCGTCTCCCAGCTCGTTTCGCTTCTTCCAAGTTAAACAGTAACGCTGGGCTTTCGTCAAATTGTTTCGTCATTGAATTTGGCCCCCGCCACAGGTGCTGAAAACCTCGCGCCAATATCTCGCAATACTCAGTAACCCTTTCCGAGGTACTGTACCTCGCCTCGATACTTCCGAATTGTACAATCGATAACTGGTCAGGAAACGCACAAAGTACGCCCAGAGGTACAGTCAATTTTGACGAGTGCATTGACGTAAAATTTACGGAAAAAAAACGGCAGTGTACAAAGTTGGACCCGCCCTAAGACGCACATAGATTTCAAGAAATGGTTGGATGACAACCGTCACTTGGCTTCTTTCGCCGGCCCAAGCTCCCTGGTCTGGCCGTGGAAAAAAACTTTTTGACTGTCCACTGGTTAGAAGCTCGAAGCTTCAAAGAGCTTCTAAACGTTCGAGCGTTCTACGAAGCTTCCCACGTACCGTTGTGCTGTGCTGTGCTGTTCTGCCGCAAAGCCAATGCGGAAACAGAACAGGGCCTAGGATGACCCAACGACGCACATTTGCGTCCCGCAGTGAACAACATATTGGTAAAGTTGAAGTGATCGTTGGACTATAGCTTTTGACGGATCTTCCAACGGCGAATCTGGCAAAACTAACACCGCACTCTCACCTCATGCATGTGCACATGCAGACTTCCCGAAATTGCTCTGCCTCGACAGGGGCGAAATAGCAGAGCATAAAGGCGACAGCGACACGAATGGTCTCGGTGAGTCGCTCTCCAGCTTCGCCACCGCTTCAATCTCTGCTGCCCTTTCTCTCCATCCCAGTACGGCGCTTCCACGGCTGGACGTTTCACACCCCGCCTTCACTGATCTTTCATCCGACAGATTGGTCAAAGCAGTTGTGTACTCCTAGTAATGCGAACGGCGTACCAGCGGTACCAGTCCAGTCAGCCAGCATTCTAGCGTGAACGACGTGGAACTGACTATGAAGAGGGAGGAGATGGCGAGTGGCGACGAGGAGCGCGTGGCGGCGTTGGAGGCGAAGCTGAGGGAGCAGGGCGACGCCATGGCTGCCATGCAGCGCGACATGGGCGCGCTGAAGGCGGAACTTGCGCGGATGAGGGGAGCTGCGGAACAGCACGCGGCGGAGGTGGCGGAAGTGAAGGCGACGGCGGCGCATTCGGAGGCGCGCATCAACGACGTCGAGCTGGCGCTCGCCGCCATCAAGGACGGCAAGGTGGGGGAGCGCCGCGACGAGCGCGATGAGGGCGGCGCGGGGAAGAGGCGGAAGAGGGAGGAGTCGCCGGGGAAAGAGGGGGTCATGGCCGGTGCTGCCGAAGGAAAGCAAATTGAGGTGGAAAGCGAGAGCGAAGAGGAGTGGGGGGCGAATGGAGAGGAGGAATTCGACACGGAGGCTGAGCTGCAGGAGCTGTGCGACTTCGTGGTGGCGCTGGAGAAGAATGGCCCGGGTGCCAAGACGTGGGAGGTGAGTGCTTCATCGGTTTACTTGGTCCTTTCTTTCTTGTACTGCTGTGGCACGGATCATGGTTGATGTAATATGCTGAAGCCAGTCTTTCTCACACGTCGAAACCAATTTGTTCGACCTTGCTGCTCCCCCTGCTACTCCCCATACTTCTCCCGTTGCTGCTCCTCCCTCCGCCGCTCCCCTTGCTGCTCCCCTGCTGCCCCGTGGCTGCAGGCACTGCTGACGCTGTGGAGCAAGGTTGCGCCGGGCGAGACTCGCATGGACCTCAAAAGCTGTGTCTACCTCACCGACGATGCTCTCTCTCGAGTCGCCTCCCTGCGCTCCCTCACGTGGCTGAGCCTTCGAGACTCGTCCGGCTTCACTGCAGAGGGGTTAACACAGCTCTACTCCCTCACAGGTCTCAAGTTGCTGGATCTGGCGGAGACAAATGCAACGGACGCTTCGCTGGAACGTATTGGCAGCCTTAAGGTTCTTAACACAATTTATCTTGGTGCGACCAAGATAACCGATGCAGGGATAGCGAAGTTGAGAGGGTTGCCTGCACTCGTGACTCTGGCCGTAGATGGCTGTGCGTCAGTCACCTCTGCCAGCATGGTGCACGTGGGGAAATTGACATCACTGGAGTCTCTCTGGTTGAGTACCACTACAGTGAGGGAGGACGGGCTGAAGCACCTGACTGCCCTCACCTCCCTCAAGGTCTTCAGCTTGCCTCCAGGAGTGACTGATTCCTCTTTGAAGATCCTGAGGAACATGAAACGCCTGGAGAAGCTGGGGCTGTGGCATGCTAAAATCACTGCTGACGGTGTCAGGTGGCTTGAGGGGGTCCGGAAGTCACAAGCCAACCCCCTACCTGCATGGCATGTGACATGTGCAGTACCACAACCACCCTCACCCTCCCACCTGCATGAGTTGCGGCGCCACTGAATGGTATTTTAGCGGGCCGGGGAAGTCGCGCACCGTCAACTGCACCTCGTCGCAGCCCAAGGTGCAGCCTAAACCATAAACCAAGCCGGTGGCCGCCCCAGTTGGCACCAGAATCAACCACCAAGCTGGTGGCCGCCCAAGGTGCCATGGGAACCCTCTAACAAGCATGTGATTGTCCTAGGTGCCACTAGGATTTCCCACCAAGCTGGTAGCCGTACCAGGGCGATGTTCGGCAGCCAGAGGGATCGAGGGGAGGGGATGGGACGGAGAATGAAAACGCCGGGCCTTTAGGCTCGACCTCACCAAGCCAGGCAACACACTACGGTCAGGACCCGAAATTTGTGAAAAATGTGTCGAACGTGGGCCCAAGAAGCGACGCGAACCCCACTCTAGACTGTAGGCCGCGCCGCACTCCCCCCCAACACCTCCCCCTTGGCGGAAATCTTCCGCCCTAGAAGGGGGGGAATGAAAATTGGATTCCCGTAGGTCCATCAACCTCAGAGGAATCCAAACTCCATCCCTCGCCCCATCCCTCACGTTTCTAACAAGGCAATACCCAGGAAAAAAATAAAACAAGACGAAGGCGATCTCGCCTTCCTCGATTTCGCCAACTCAGCTCCTTGTGATCCGAACCAGAATTCGGAACACACCCTAAGTACATTTCGGGAATTCAATGTTGGAATCCAACATTGAATTGTGCGGCTCGTAATTCTCAGTTTCCAACCTTGGGAACAATTCCACAGAGCACGCTAGTGCTGGACACAACGGGGCAGAGAACTCCAACAACGCAGCGAAGTACTTGACAGCACAAGCAAGCACAGTTTCCTACAGCCATGGCTTCTTCCAACGCAGCTTCTACTCATCATTATCAACGACGACATGGATGACAACAAGACAAAGAATCTCTGCCCAGTACCTTAGTGATTTCCTAGAGTATGCTTATTGGTTCTAGGACTAGAGAACAAGGCTAGGAAGTCTTGTACATAATCATAATGACTATGCCTTGCTGTCCTTAGCTCTAGGAAGATGATAGGCGACCTGAGCGACCTGCTCGAGGCGCCCTTGCTAGTATCCTAGTATATTAGGATGTATCTCTGAAATGTAAGCCAACATATGATCTTTGTAAAGCTATCTTGCTACTATCTTTCTGAAATTCTCCTAAGAGAGCTTCCTATTACTAACACTCTGCCAAAACTTAGTGGCTATTTCATTTGGTATCCGAGCTATCTTTGATCCTCCTTTTCTTGAGAACAGCGTCATGACGACTAGTAAGGTACCTTCTCGTGATGAATGGGCCAGCTTCTCGGAAACTTACTGAGCCCAACTTGTTGCGGAAGTTAGAGAGAGCTTGCAAGCTGAGATGCAAGCTAGTGTAGCTGCAGCTGGAGTTGCAGCAGCAACTGCGAACCCTGCTGCACCGTCAGACGGAAATCAGCACGCTAGACCCGCCCTTCCTGATTTTTTCTTTCCCGGGAGAAACCAACCAGTCGTGAGCCGTTGGCTCTTTCTTGTTGAGCAATACCTGCTCCTAAGTCACATACTACCTGCCGAGTGGACTGCTTTCAGTGGCGCCCTTCTTCGTGGATCTGCAATCACCTGGTGGCAATCCGTGCATGCGACCATCCAATCATGGGATCAATTCAAGCTAATCTTCACTGCAACCTTCCAACCGGTGAACCTGAACATCAGAGCACGAGACGCCTTGGCTGCTCTGAAGCAACTCAAATCTGTTCAAGAATACGCTTCTCGCTTCCGTGACATCGCACAAGAGATCCCGGACCTTTCCGATGCTGAACGGATGGATCGTTTCAAGCGCGGGCTGAAAACAAACGTGCGCATGGAGGTCGAGCTGAGGGACTGCTCTACGCACGAGGAAATGATACGCGTGGCTGAACGGTATGATTCTGTCCACTACGCATACAACAAGCTCGCTTTCCTCGTAGCCCGTTCCTCCCGTTTGCTCCCTCCTACCAGCCCTCTACACCAACGGACTCCAATCTTCAAGAATCTGCTCCTATGGACCTGGACCTGATGGAGAAGAGAAAGAGAAACCCGAGGCCAGTCGTCGTGTGCTACAAGTGCGGCAAGAAAGGGCACGCGTGGAAGGTCTGCCGCCAACGCACCAATCTACCTCCCATCCTTCCAACGCCGGGAAACTCAAGTCGCCAGTAAACTCGGGGCAACTTTCTGGTGACTATGCCTGCCCCACTATCTCTTCCCTTGAAAGTCGTAACCCCTCTGAACCGCTTCTCCTTTCCATGCTGATTCGTTGTCAGAGAGTGAAAGCTCTAGTTGATAGTGGTGCTTCTTCTAACTTCATCTCCTCCTCTCTACTCTCCAAGCTTTCTCTTCCAACTCAACCTGATTCCATACCTCAAACAGTGCTGATGGCGAACGGAACCTCGATTTCATGTGGACAAGTACCATTCCCTGTTTCATGTACAATAGGACCTTACAGAGACAAGATTCAGTTTCAGCAAGCATCTCTCGGAGACCATGAAGTGATTCTTGGACGTGACTGGCTTTCCTAAAAAAACCCCAAGATTGACTGGACTCTTGGAACCGTCACCATCTCTCACTCTGGAAGAGACATCACCTTACCTACCTTCTCCTCCTCCTCCTTTACCTCTACTTCCTGCAACATCCTCTCGAAACGGCAGCTGAAAAAACATCTCAATGACCCAAGCTCTCAATTCTTCCTCTGTTTTTTGAATCAAATTTCAGAAACTCCTATTCTCCCTTCCCCTCCCAAGGCTGCCGAAATCCCTTCTGAAATTCAACAGGTTGTCAATGAGTTCAAAGACATCTTCCCTGCTGATCTTCCCTCTTCACTTCCTCCGAAGCATGCCATCAATCACCGCATCATCTTACAACCCGGTGCTGAACCTACCGTTCGTGCTACGTACCGGATGAGTGCTGCCGAGCTGAAAGAAGTTCAGAAGCAGTTGGAGGAGCTTCTTGAGAAAGGCTTCATCCACGTCAGCTCCTCTCCCTATGCAGCACCGATTCTCTTCGTAAAAAGGAAGGATGGCAGTATGCGCATGTGTGTTGACTACCGTGCGCCCAACAAAATCACAATCCAGAACCGCTACCCCCTACCTCGAGTGGAAGAACTCTTTGATCAACTTGGTGAGGCCACAATTTTAAGCAACCTGGACCTACGAAGCGGTTACCATCAAGTGCGTGTCGCTGACGAAGACATCGAGAAAACCGCCTTTCGAACACGGTATGGGCATTTCGAGTTTCTCGTGCTTCCTTTCGGACTAACGAATGCCCCTGCCACCTTCATGTCCTTGATGCACAGTGTCTTTCGGGATTTCTTGGACCGGTTTGTCATCATCCTCGTCAATGACATTCTGATTTATAGCAAATCCTTGAAGGAACACGCCGAGCATCTAAGGCAAGTCTTCACACGGCTTCGTGAGCATCGTCTCTTCGCCAAACAGAGCAAGTGTGAGTTTGCCACGCCATCGATTCCTTTCTTGGGCCGCATCATCTCACACAATCAGCTTGCTATGGACCCTTCCAAAGTCAACGCCATCACAGAATGGAAGGAGCCAACCTCTATCAAGGAATTGCAAGCCTTCCTTGGTCTTGCCAACTACTACCGCAAGTTCATTCGACACTTCGCTGCTATCACCTCTCCCTTATCCAACCTTCTTCGCAAGAGTGATATGGACAGATGCGTCTCAGGTTGCAACGGGTGCAATTCTCTGTCAAGATCAAGGGCATGGCCTTCAGCCTATCGCCTTCGAGTCCCGGAAACTCAAACCTGCCGAGTGCAACTATGCAACTCACGATCGCGAGGCGCTGGCCATCGTCCATGCTATCAAGAAGTGGCGGTGCTATGTTCACATGCAACCCGTCACTGTTCTTACCGATCACTGCACCCTGCAATACCTGAAGACGCAGCCCCATCTCACCCCGAGGCAGGCCTGATGGATGGAGTCTGAGCACAAGCAAGCGGCCACAAGGCCAGTTCACATGCAGAGTAATAAAAGCACAAGCAGTACAGTGATCACAACCTAGTAACAACAAGCATGTAGGTATATATATATATAGATCACAGTACAAGAGAAAGTCTAACAGGTGAGGCAGAGTAGGCACAAGGCCTAGAGCAGTGCAGAAACGCTGATGACCACCAGACCCTAGGGCCTTGGTGAAGACATCAGCAGTGTTGACCCGAGAGGCCACGTAAGCATAGGCGCAGCTGACCACGCTGCTGCAGCTCCCGAGCAAGAAAGTAACGAATTGCAAGGTGCTTCGTTCTGTGCTCCAGTCTCTGCTCCTTACACACGGCAATCATGGCCTTGTTGTCGACGTACAAAACAAGAGGAGAACGAGGCCGCTCACCCAAGTCGGTAAGCAGGTAGGTCAGCCACCGTAACTCCTGTGCAGCCATGGCCCAAGCGTAGATCTTGGCCTCACAGCTGGAACCAAGTACAGAAGACGAACGAGTGGACCTCCAAGAGACAGAACCAGAGCCGAGACTGAAAAAGTAACCCTGGGACGACCGCTGAGTCGCCTGGTCGTCGGCCCAAGAAGCGTCGGAGTCTCCTGTGAGTACCACTGAACCCCGAACTCCAAGCACGAGCCCCATGCCCGATGTACTGCACAAGTAACGCAACACCCTCTTAGCAGCCCGCCTGTGCTATGGTCGGTGTCTCCCGGGCGCAACGTAGAGCGCCAGGAAGCTGAGAGGGTATGCGAGGTCAGGTCGAGGGCCCGTCATCAGGTACATGAGGCAGCCCACAAGCTCTGGATACTGACCACTCGGCTCTACGGACTCGTCCGAAGGTGGAGCTGAGAGCGAATGGCCTGTAGGCAGAGGAGTGGACTGTGGAGAGGAGAACTCAAAGCCGAAGCGCTGAATGACCTCATGCACCATGTGTGACTGAGTCACAGTGATGGTGCGCCGTGCTCTGTCCAGGGTGATCTGCAAGCCAAGATAGCTGCGCAGCTCACTCAGGTCAGAGCAGGTGTGTCTGTTCTGCAGCTCC